ATCTATCTATCTATCTATCTATCTATCTATCTATCTATCTATCTATCACTCTCTCTCTCTCTCTCTCTCTCTCCCTACCTATCTATCCATCCACCCAACTATCTATCACTTTCTTCCTCCTTCCCTCCTTCCATCTGTTAATTAAATGGTCAAAACTCCTACTATGAATACTATGGAATACTTAGGGAAAGTTTTCTATCTAGGTTTTTTTTTAAAGATTTTATTTATTTATTTGACAGAGAGAGAGAGATAGCAAGAGCAGGAACACAAGCAGCAGGGGTGGGAGAGGGAGAAGCAGGCTCCCCACTGAGCAGGGAGCCCGATGCGGGGCTCATTGCGGGGCTCGATCCCAGGACCCTGGGATCATGACCTGAGCCCAAGGCAGACGCTTAATGACTGAGCCACCCAGGCGCCCCTCTATCTAGGTTTTTAAAAAGTACCATTACACCATCTCATTAATTATCAATCTGAAAGTTATCAACTGTCAAGGACAAATTCTTCATTTGAGGATATTTGAGGGCTATCTATTAATAATACATTCATGTACCAATTTGAACAAGCTATTAGAGTTAAATATTAAATTTATTTTGTATTTTTACTTAAATCATAAAAAGAATATTCTTACCAGTTGCCTTTTGGATTTATAAACTGCTGCACTGCATAGCCAAACTGTTCACTTGAAGGACCGGAAAATATCTTTGCTTCTAGGAGACCAACATTGTATGCCATACAACAATTTAAAATGCCTATTAAGAAAGATGAAAACACAGTCCATATTTACAATTTGTGAATATAAGTTTGTAATATAACTCTCAAAGGCCACTTAAAAAACTTGTTTTATATAATAATTATTCTTCCTATTAGTGTTTACCAAGAAATAATAACTACTGCTTTTTAAGTACTTTTTTGTGGCTCTGGTACCATGCTAAATACTTTATATGCATGATTCATTATCTCATCCATCCTCATAGCATTCCCAGGAGATGATTATTAATATTATATTTGTTTCGCAGAAATTTCTAAGGTTCCTGGGGATAAGTATGTCTCCCAGGTGGAAAGGAATAAGGGTAAGGGCAGGATTTGAACACACGGCTGTCTGATTCAACTTGAATTCTAAAACCACATATTACCTCTAGAGACTCTTAGGTAACTTCAGTTCTGTTTGTCCTTCCTAACACAGTAAGTCTCCAATCTGCCCAAGGGCAGAAGCTGAAGGCTATTTACTTTTTGTCCTAAATTCCCCTGAAGATTTTGATATGGACTCTATATGAAGTATCTGTTGGAAATGCATGGCTTCTTCAAAGGAGGAAGAAAAATCACAGCTCCTTGAAAATTATATCATTTTCTTTCAGAAGAGATCATTTTTGAGGATGAAAATGTAGGGGATGGAGTCCTATCACTTTTATTCCACTGAGAACTGTCAGAAGTGGTTTTGGTTTTTGATGCTTCTTTCTCAGTGCTCGAGAAACGATAATCATTTTCAAAAACAACAGAGACTTTGATAGGATAAGGCCCTGATAGACTTTTTCAAAAAACCTTATTTGTGATGGAAAGGGAATAGGGGAACAAGTAAGGTTGATGGCTGTCAGTCCTTCATTCTGGAGAAAGCAAGCCGGGTGGATATAAATGCCGTCTGTGGCGACGGGGTACGCTTCATCCTGTCTGCCATCAGTGTTTATTTTTGCAGACACTGAAGGCAGAAGTGGGTTCTTTGAAACTGACATCCAAGTTCTATTAATATGTGTTTCTGTGAGAGAATATCCCACTTTCTGGGCAGCAATGAAAGTACAGAGTATTTCATAAATCTATTGTTTCAGGCATGGAAAGGCTGGAGGAAGAGGGCCTGCTCCTCTATGGGGCCTGGGTACTTCTGGGAGCTGATTCTGCGCAGCGCACCAAAGGAATTATGAAGTCAGTGATAAAGCTTTGGGGACTTAAGGTAGTTAATGTGCTTCTCTATGTGCCAAAGTCATTCCACCACAGATTTCTTCATTCAGGAGAGCTCAGCTCATTATTTATTAGAAATATGGTCACCCAGGAAGAGAAGGACAAATAGTAATTTTGAAATACTCTGTGACAAAATCTGCATAGCTCTACATTTGCAAATTTTCTCCTTAACACCTATTTTTCACATGTACCATTCTTCCTTCTTATTTTTCAGGAAATAAAATGCAGAAGAAAATAACATAGCAAATTAATCACGGAACGAGAAATGACATTCAGAATACTGGTGTTTTCAAACAACAGTTTAACTTCACCCCATTGTGCGGAACTCAATAAATGCTATCTAATTATGTTACCAGTTATCTAACATACTAGTAAAAGCTTGGGGAGATGATGTCAAATGCTCCTTCTTTTCTAATGTGTAATGCTGGAAAGGCCATATATGATGCAATGGCATCATTTTAATTAATTAGAACCATTAATTAGACCTCAGCAGATCATGTAATGACACAAAATCACGTTGAAATTCATTTTATCATCTAGCAGTTAAATTTCAATTTATATATGTTATATATAAATATATACTTTATATATTTATATATATAAAGTATATAATATATACTTTATATATTATATATAAATTACTGCCTATATATATGTGTATATATACACATGTATGTTTATACACACATATAGAAAATGTTATTCAAAAATATAAATCAGATCACTTTTCTCTGCTAAAAATATCCCAGTATCTTTTATTATTTTTTTCTTAAGTATAATTAACATACAGTATTATAATAGTTTCAGGCATACAATATAATGCAACAGTTCTGTTCATTATTCAGTGCTGATCTCCCTAAGTGTGCTCTCAGTCCTTTGTAACTATTTCACCCATCCCCTAGTCCACTTTGCCTACCTCCCCTTTGGCAACTACCAGTTTGTTCTCTGCATTTAAGAGTCTGCTTTTCTGTTTGTCTCTTTTTTTTCTTTGTTCATTTGTTTTGTTACTTAAATTCCACATATGAACAAAATCATACGATATTTGTCTTTCTTAGACTGATTTATTTCACCTAGCATTATATCCTCTAGGTCCATCCATGTTGTTGCAAATGGCAAGATTTCATCCTTTTTTTATGTCCGAGTAATATTCCATAGTAGTATTTATGTGTGTGTGTGTGTGTATAAAAATGTGTGTGTATATGTACATGTATATATGTATACGTATATATAAATATACATACACACACACATCTTCTTTATCCATTCATCTATTGATGGACACTTGGGTTGCTTCCATATCTTGGCTATTGTAAATAATGTTGCAATAAACATTGAGATACAGGTATTTTTTCTAATTTGTGTTTTTGTATTCTTTGGGTAAATACCAGTAGTGGAATTACTGGATCAATGGTAACTCTATTTTTAATTTTTTGAGGAAGCTCCATACTGTTTCCCACAGTGGCTGCACAAAATTACATTCCCACAACAGTGCATTAGGGTTCCTTTCTCTCCACATCTTTGCCAACCCTTGTTGTTTCTTGTGTTTTTGATTTTAGCCATTCTGACAGGTGTGAGCTAGTATCTCATTGTAGTTTTGATTTGCATTTCCCTGATGATGAGTGATGTTGAGCATCTTTTCATGTGTTTGTTGGCCATCTGTATGTCATCTTTGGAGAAATGTCTGTTCATGTCTTCTGCCCATTTTTAATTGGATTTTTTTTTTTTGGTGTGGAGTTTTATAAGTTCTTTACACACACACACACACACACACACACACACACACACACACACACACACACCCTGATTGGGTATATCACTTGCAAATATCTTCTCATATTCAGTGGGTTGTCTTTTTGTTTTCTTGATCGTTTCTTTCACTGTGCAGAAGCATTTTATTTTGGTATAGTCCCGATAGTTTAATTTTGCTTTTATTTCCTTTCCCAGGGGAGACATATCTGGAAAAATGTTTCTACAGTGATGACAAACAAATTACTGCCTATGTTTTCTTCTAGGAATTTTATTTTTTCAGGTCTCACATTTAGGTCTTTAATCCATTTTGAGTTTATTTTTGTGTATGGTGTAAGAAAATGGTCCAGTTTCCTTCTTGTGCAAGTAGCTGTTCAGTTTTTCCAACACTATTTGTTGAAGAAACTGTCTTTTTCCTATTTTATGTTCTTGCCTCCTTTGTCATAGAAATATCCCAATGTCTTATCAGTACACTGAGAATAAAATCCAATTTTCTTACCATGGTTTCAAAGGTCATTCATGATGTGACCTTGTGTATCTGGTGACTTCACTTTCGCTACCCTCCTTCCTCACTATGTTCCAGCCACACTGGCTTTCCTTCTGTTCTTTGAGCACAAGCAGCTCATTCTGCTTATGGCCTTTGCAGCTGCCTGACCCACTGCCTACAACATTTTCTTCCCAGCTCAGCATCTATGTCTTGGCATCTATTCATTATTTAGGTCTCTGCTCTCCTTGTAGAGACTTCCCCTGACTCTATCTAGCAGCAACATTCTACTCCATCAATATACCACTATCACAGCACCAATTACCTGAAATTATCTTATGTATCTGCATTATTTTGTGTCTGTCTCTGCCTAGTAAGACCTAAACTCCTTGTAAGCTCAGATTTTATTTCATTTATTCACTCTTATTTTCTCAACACCTAGTATAGTTCATTTGTTGAATGAAATGAATTTTTAATTAACATATGCTCTTCAATGATAATTTGGAATATAGAGAAATTTAGAGGAAGAAAGATCACTCAAAGCCATATCATTTTAATGCAAGTGCCGTGAATTTGGATATATTTCCTTCCAGCATTTTTTCCTCATTTAAACCATAAACTTGTATCATACTCTTTCTTAGTGCTTATGTCTGCATACTTATTCAGAATCACTTCGACTCATTTGATCCCCCATGAAACCTTGTGAAGAAGCAAAATGTAGCTATTATTACCAACGTATAAATAAGGAGGTTAGATACCATTTTTGTTCAGTGTCACACATTTGGTGGCTGAACTCTGAGTCGGGGTCTGGCTCATTTTCTCAACCTTATTGTCCAGAACTTCCTTCATAAATGGTCTGCTCATTTCCTCACTAAATATGTCATTTTCCATTGCCATTCCTTATTCCATTGATCCTAAATCTCTTCTTTCCTGCTAATTCAATCCTCCCCTCAAGACCACGCCTCTTTTGATAAACCTGGACAATCTCAGTTCACTATACTTACTTCTCTTCAGATATATATCTACAACTCACTATCTATGTCATCATTTCACACTTAGCCTGTGATAGCTAATTAGCTTATGTAAATTTATTTATTCATTTATTTAAAGATTTTATTTATTCATTTGAGAGGGAAAGAGACAGAGAGAGCACAAGCAGGGGGAGTGGGAGAGGGAGAAGCAGGCTTCCCACTGAGCAGGGGGCCCGATGCGGGACTCGATCCCAGGACCTGGAGATCATGACCTGAGCCAAAGGCAGATGCTTAACCATCTGAGCCACCCAGCCTCCCCTAGCTTATGTAAATTGAATGTATGTATTCTAATTCAATGTCTATTCCTTCTTTACAGTCCAATTGTGTATAGAAATATGTTTCTATATCTGTTCTTATAACTTTACTGGATAGTATGGAAAATAACAACCATATTTGTTTCATCGTGTTCCCTTCCCCCACAACCATGCCCATATGTCTGAACCCACTAATAAATGGATCATTCAAAACATATTTATCTAGCTCCTTTGTGCCAGGCATTTTCTAGTCCCTGGGGATATAACAATGAACAAAACAGACA